GAGTTTGGCTTCTTATTGCCCCAGGCCTTAAGGCTAGAGTGAATGGCACGAATCTCGGCTCACTGCACCAACCGTCCCGCCTCCTGGGTTCCAAGCGATTCTCCTGCCCTCAGCCTCCTGATGTAGCTGGGATTACAGCATGTGCTACCACGCCTGGCTAATTTTTTTGTATTTTTAGTAGTATTTATTTTTAGTTAGAGACGGGGTTTCTCCCATTGTTGTCAGGCTGGTCTTGAACTCCCACCTCAGGTGATTCCACCCGCTCGGCCTCCAAAGTGCTGGGATTACAGGAGGTGAGCAAGCCAGCCCGGCCCTGGAGCTGATGGAACTTCTAAATTCAGGTCCCTGTGCTCTGCAGACGGCTTTGAGAGAAACCTGTGCCTCTCTCAAGGTCTTTGCTGAAAAAAAAAAAAAAAAAAAAAAAAAAGAAGTTCATTACCTCCCATCTTGGGAGGGCACAGCCTGTTTACCTGCCTGCCATGCCCAGAGCCCTGAGCAGAGAGGCTGGAGAGTAGAAGCCAGGGGGCTGGCGGCAGGTCCTGCCACCCCAGACAGAACCTGCCCACAGGCTTGCTGGGGTCACTCCTCCTAATGCTGCAGCCTCGTCATAGCACCTGGCACATCCATGTTTGCAAAACACCACAGAATACTCCCTGGGGAAAAGTGCTCCTAGCGGGCTGACAGGAGACTGAGGAGGGCAGGGTGGGGCAGTGGTCCCCTGCTGGGGCCAGACACCAGACAGCGCTGCAACCTCACCCACATGGGCTCAGGCCGCACTGCTAGGATCAGGGTCTGAATCTGCAAAGCGGGGCTAGCAACAGGCGCCTCCTCGTGGAACACATTGAACTTGCGTGTTCCATGAATGTCCAGGACCAGCCCACTGGTCTTCCTGGGCCTCTGCCAAGGCCGAGTTTGGAACGTCGGGGTGTGAGGGTCCTTTGTTAAGTCAGAAACCTCCACTTCAGTTCATTTTGGGTCCACGGTGAGCATTTCTTAAGCCTGTTTCTTAAAGTTGTGTTTTTCACCCCAGTCCCACCCTCTCCCTCCCTTGAATACACAGAAAGTATTCAAGTAATTCTCATAAGCTCTTCCTCATGGAAAATAATACAGATTTGATTTAAAAAGCAAAATTTTCCTCAGTTCTTGAAGACTGTTGGTTCATTGTGTATCCAGTGCTTCTGCCATGTGGCTAAAGTTTCACCTCCCTGCTGTCAATTTTTTTTTTTTTTTTAGATGGAGTCTCACTCTGTCGCCCAGGCTGGAGTGCAGTGGCTTAATCTTGGCTCACTGCAACCTCGCCTCCTGGGTTCAAGCGATTCTCCTATCTCAGCCTCCTGAGTAGCTGGGATTACAGGCATCCACCACCATGCCTGGCTAATGTTTGTGTTTTTGGTAAAGACGGGGTGTCATCATGTTAGCAGGCTGGTCTTGAACTCCTGACCTCAAGGGACCCACCAGCCTCGGCCTCCCAAAGTGCAAATCCTACTGTCATTTTTACCATTTTGTTTATTTATTCTGTGAGACTGAGTCTTGCTCTGTCACCCAGGCTGGAGTGCAGTGTCATGATCTCAGCTCACTGCAACCTCCACCTGCCAGGTTCAAGCGATTCTCCTCCCTCAGCCTCCCGAGTAGTTGGGACTACATGTGTGACACCACGCCTGGCTAAGTTTTGTATTTTTAGTAGAGACAGGGTTTCACCATGTTGGCCAGGCTGGTCTTGAACCCCTGACCTCAAGTTATCCACCCGCTTCAGCCTCCAAAGTGCTGGGATTATAGGCATGAGCCACCACACCCGGCCAACCACTCTAAAAGTTTCTGCTAAAGACTCTTGACCTTCACTTTCAACCCGTGCTTTTCCCTTCGGATTGCAAAAATGCTTGCAGGTTGAAGATCTTCACACCATCTGCATTTTGTCTTATATTTGGTGCATATTTGGTTTCAGTTGGGGAGGGTAAAATGCTTCCCTCCACCCTTCTGGGTTCTTTGGTTAGGCTTCAAATTGAGACCAATGGGAGGAAAACGGTTCTAATTATGTGTATAAGCAACAGAGTCCCACAAAACAAGAGACTTGAAGAAGGGCCAGATGACTAAACCCTATATAGCATCCTGAGCTATATAAGGATTAGGGGCTTGGGGCTTCTGGGGCAGGTAGGGACGAGTAATGGAATGGTGAGGGGAGGAAATGCATGGCAAATGAAGGTCGTCTGGTTATGCAGATATAAGTCTCTCAGGTAATAAAAGTTGTCTCCTCCTGGTACAGATACTTGTACTAATGTAGATTTCCTTCATGACATAAATTTATTTTGCAAAGGGCAGCTTTTCAGAGATACACCTGTTGTGTTTGCAGTTTCTCAGCATAACCAGCTCAAAATATTCCAAAGAAGTATAATTTGGGGTGATATATATCTGGTCTCCTACAGTCGTATTTTGGGGGTGCTGTGTCCTGCACCCCAGTATTTCCTTCTCCTGTGATGGTCTGTGTTTGAGACAGGGTCTCTTGTTCCCAGGCTAAAGTGCAGTGGCGTGATCATGGCTCACTCCAGCCTTGACCTCTTGGGCTCAAGGGATCCTCCCATTTCAGCCTCTCAAAGTGCTGAGATTACAGGCGTGAGCCATTGCACCTGGCCTCCTGTGATGGTTTTAAAGATGTCTTTAATCCCACAGTGTCAGTCTGCACAGCCTCTGGGCTGCCCAGCTGGGCGCCTTGTTCTCTAATTCACTGTCCTCATGACAGAGGCAGGGTCTTGGGCACACATTCAGGCAGAGGCTGAATCTTCCTTTATCACTGAAAGCTTGTATCAGACCTGCCTTCAAGTTTTCACTTTCTCCTATTCATGAAGTTCCTTCGGTCTTATATTCCTTCCCACTGCCGCTGACAGTAGCATTTGGGGATTTGGGGGGGGACGCAAAGGACAGAAATAACTGGCATACTACCACAGATAGAAGAGGCGTTTGTTCCCTTAGTGCCTGAATTCCAACCAGAAGAACTTGTGATGAGCTAGCGACGTGCAAAGCCTTTCAATGTCAGGGACGTGCTGTCTAGCCATAAAACAATTAGCAAGGAAAGCATAAACATAATTTCAAAACACTTATCTAGGAACAATCTATATATATCCAACAACTACTGGAATAGTACCATTCTGCCTTCGAACTTTGTCCATCATTTTTGTGTGTTCCAAGTAATATGGTTTTTCATAAAATAACCTGCGTGGGGAAGCCAGTGCAGTTGCAGCATGCTGTCAAAACACGACTTCCCATCCTGCTCCCTTCCCCACTGACCTTGTCACTATTCATGGTTGCTGCCCCTTTTCTCAACTACGGTGGCCACGCATGATGAAAGTTGTGATCGCTGCTGAGGTTGGGGAAAGAGGCTTCTGTGTCATCAAACATCGTTAATAAAGACTTACTAGGCCGGGCACGGTGGCTCACGCCTGTAATCCCAACACTCTGGGAGGCGGAGGCGGGCGGATCACGATGTCAGGAGATCGAGACCATCCTGACTAACATGATGAAACCCTGTCTCTACTAAAAATACAAAAAATTAGCCAGGCGTGGTAGCACATGCCTGTAATCCCAGCGCCTATGGAGGGACAGGAAACACATGGCCAGGAAGCTCCGGTCCCCATCCAGGGCTGCCAGGGTCTGGATGTCTCCGGGAGGGAGCAGAGGTTCTCCCGCGCTGCGACTGGACCTTGGTTCAGGCGGCAGCCTC